AGAAACGACAGAATAAGTAACCATTAATTTATATCATAATCAGCTCTCTTCTATTTGGGCAAAGTATTACAGGATCCACAACAATAAATTAATGCAAAGGATATGTGTTGATTCTGAATTTCACAAGACATTGGGCTGATTACCGGCGCAACCGTACCAATAATATAAATACCAATGCTCCAATTTAACAAGTTAAAGGGCTACGTGATGTTTTATTGCTTTGAAACAAAGTTATTACCAATTGCTCCTTTTTAATTGTGTATCTCATCATCGCTAATATATTAGTCCTTATAAAGTTGTTCTTTCTTAATGATACGAGGATGACTCGATCGTGTAACAAGTATCAGGTCTTCTAAATTTCCCATCCATCAATGTACCCATTTTGTTTCAATTATTGTTACAATTTCCCGACTTTGTAAACAGAAACAACAGTATTTCAAATAAGGATTTGCATAAGCATTGTTTGCCTACTCATCCAGTAGTAGGGTTGTTAAATTTTTATAGTTGTATTAACTGTTTGTGCTATACATAGGGTCAAATAAAACCGTATATAAAGGGTATCATGCAGCGATGTTACACATTTATTAAATCTTATTTATTACAGCAATCTATAAGTGTTTTTTCTTATTTATTACAGTTTCAACAAGACAACCGACAACAAATAGCAAATGCCTTTGCCGAAAATTGTCAATTTATGATCTCGATGGGGTAGAGGTGAATAGATATTATGTGAATCTTTGACACACGTTGTATCCCTTATATGTTAGTCAATATTGTTCCGTACTTGATGAACTTTCAGATTGATAGTATTCGTTTTACTAATTTGTTGTTTTTATCTTTAAAATTTTCTTCTTTTGGAAAATCATCTTGATTAGCTCATGACCCAAATTGCAAAATATTGGAGCACATTGTAATGTGGTTGTTTCTCCTTCTGTCTGTACGTACGTTCTGTAATCATTTTCCTGTTAAAACCTCATGAAGGAATTATCCTAAGGTCGCGTCTACATCTAGTCAAATTTCTTAAATGTCACATTTAGATAAGCTAAAAATGGCCCTTTCAACATATAATCAGGCACAATTTTTACTGAAATGTCTTATTAAGATTGCCAATGATTTATACCTTTGTCCTTGCAATACTACCATGTTTCTGTTATTTATAAAAAAGCGGAAAAAATGATGCAATTAGCTAAAACCAATGGAGTAAATGAAATGTGTACATTCTTTTAAAGGAAATAGAAAATGTTAGAAAAATATATATTTTGAGCTTATATATTGATGCAAATTCTTTATTTGATGAAAGTTAATTTCACTAAATGAACAAGATCATTTAAAATCCCTCTATTGATTATACTTTTTAAAAACAAATCTTTTTTTGCGCTTCAGTGTATCGATTTTTCCTTTGACCAAGACATTGTAAACATTTACTGAAATTCACAGGTCATGAACACTGAATCAGTAACAAAAAACAATAAAAAAAGTACTATCACAAATTCAGGACACATGTGTTGTGTCAAACCGGTGTTATCAGTGTCTTGACAGGCAAAAACTTGTAGAAAAATAGAACGTGTTCTATTTTTTTTTTTGCAAGAAATTATCTTCATTGATGTCACATAATTTCTCTTTAAAAACATTCAAGTAGGGTGTCTACCCTATGCAAGACAAGATAATATGATACTTGCATTCAAGACTTGGATAGGTGTAGACGGCGCCTTAGATCATGTATCTTTAAATGTATAGTACTGAAGACATATTGATTTAAAGATCTCTAGGTCAAAGGTCAAGGTGACACCTAATAAAACAACCGTGTCTTATCATTTTCTTGAGAAAAAATGAGCCTATATTTTACTTGGTAGGAATGTTACACATGTGCAGTTAATGACCCCTATGGATTTTGAGATCATTATTTTAAAGATCAAGGTCACAGGGAATATAATCCTTGCCCAAACAATCAATTGAGAAGAAATAAGCTATGCTTACTATTTCTGTTTTTATTGGTTTGAGTTAACGTTGCATCAACATAGAAGATGTCATTTAGCGACTTTACAGCTTTGATAGAGTCATCAAATGAAATAATCAAAAGTCATTGCGGGATTCGAACCAAAACGGTGCAAATTGTTTGAACACTCGCTCAGGGACGAAATTTATAAATTCTACTTGTTATGGGTATTGTCCATGGTCAATAGGCATTGTCTGTATTATTTGTTGATCCATATTCTACTGTTTTGGAGGTCATAAGGTTTAAGATCGAGGACATAGTGTCACCTACTGTTAAATACCATAACTTAAGAATTATTGTTTTTAATTGGAAAGGGTATTGCAGTACAGTAAGTTACCTCTTTTTTGTCAGGGTCACAGTCATATTTGATGCTATATCCTAATCTAGCCAACAAGTAAAGATTAATATAATCATACCTTTTTGAAGCTTTTATAATTAAAAATCTTGATACACATAAGTTATTAATAAAACACTTTGCCAGTATAAAATATGCGTAAAGATGTAAATACTAGTATGCCACTGGCTGCAAAGGGCAAATGAAGTGTAAGCATAAGTGTACTGTAGACACGTTGCTAATTTATATATAAACAATGTAGTTTAATATGGTACCTATGAATCAAACACGTGTTATTGTTTTGTCTGTTTTAAATTAGCGCTTATTATAATATTATCATTCTTATCAGTGGTTTAACTTCCATACTAGGATTGATTATTCAATTTTCCAGTTTTTGTAGGGATTTCGATTATTGTCTGAATTTTAAACACAGGCCACTGGATTGTCTTTTATAATATAAGCAATAAATTTAAATTTAATTTATTTCTCTATCAAAGCGATATCCCCGGATCGTCCTTAAGAATAATTTATAGATGTTAACAATGAAATAATTTATTATCATTGTTTATTTAAAATAAGAAATTGCAATCTTAATCGATGACAATTACATTGTCCTTGTGGTGGATCGCTGGCATCATTGTATACCACAGAGTTCTTCTAATAAATATTAACAAAATATCCAGTGGAGTTTTAAAACGCCTTTAATTGCAGTTATACATATTACTGAGAATATTGTCCTCAAATGTATAATATCATAGTACGTATCGTATATCGGGAAATCAGAATTATAATTATACTGACTAAAGTATGTGTGAAGTAAATGTCATGGTATGTAAAGTTTAGTTATTTAAAGTTAATTCTTTGATGTTTTATCACATAGTTTTACAGTGTACTACATTGTAATGTGAAATAGGAAAAAAACTAATAACAACAATAGGAAGCACCGTTCAAGAAACATGTGCATTTTTTACAATATTTAATCACATAGATATCATGTCAAAACATTTTAAATTAAATTCACTGTATGTGTTTGAAATAATGCGGACGTAATGATAATGTTGATATAACTTTGTTTATCTTTTAACAATAAAGTAACTTCTTTCAAATATCCAAGGTTTCCCAAATACCCATTTTGTATCTTCTGTTTTTCTTTCTTTCATGTTGCTTCTTTCTGTTGAAAAGAAGTAGATCGTAAAATAACATACGAAACATTTTAGAACTATTTGTGAAAGAAAACTACAAAACTGTCAGTTTTTGTTTTTATAAACATGTTCAAGTACTCATAGTATGTGATGTTTGTTTAACATCTACATTGATAAGTTAATTATATGATAATGAACTTGGGGTGGCAAAAAAATAAATAAAAATAAACATATGTTGTGTAATATTTGTGTAATATCTCCACTATGAAGTCATAAAATATTTTAGAAATACATTCCAGTTACCTAAGTACTTTTTTCAAAAATGCAAACACGCAGCACATTCATTTTTGTTCGTGTTGATTTATTTCTATTTAGAAAAACTTCATTTGTCTTTCATAAAAATATACCTTGGTCACCTCTCAATTTATGCTATTTGGAAGACATTGGGTGAAATATTTGTAGTATTTACATAACCACTTCATGATGTTTGTGATTTTTAACAAATAATTCTGTGATGATATCCAGTGATGATATCCTCGGAGAAAGGTCAATCATTGTCCAGATAAAATTCGTACATGATGAAAGTTTGCAAATGTAATTTGAGAAGGTTTTTTAATAATGAGTGTGTCGTTTACAAATTTCAAATTTTTTTCACGGCAGATAGATTAATGTATAATGCATAAGCTCTCAATTAACTGTGTTCAAACGAACCATTAGACATAAGTTTAAATTTCAGTCGTGTGCAAGCAAAAAAAAAACCAAAAACAAAACAAAACAAAAAACAACAACAACCTTGAAATAAGACTACCATCGTCACAGGATCAAAATGCTCTTAAATTGCGGGGTGATCTAAATTCTGGATTATGTAACCATTGACATTAAGCAAAGAATATTCTGTTATTTAATCATTATAATCTTATTTGCGGGATGGTCTCAATTCAGGGGTGGTCTTAAGTTTGGATTCTACTGTTTATATATTAATCAGAATAAATGCGTTACAAATCGCGCAAGGGATATTAGCATTTCAATAGTCCTTAAGCATTGGATAGTAGTATTAATAAAAACTTTTCTAGCTGCAAACATAACTTTTTCCATAAACAAAACGCACTGGCTGGGGACAGGCAGTCATCAGAAAGAAACTTTTGAGTGCCACGTGGAAAATTATAAGCACATCACTTCTTAACCGTAACATGAGTCCAAGTCTTCTTCAAAGATATTATATATATATAATATATGTTATAAAGGAGCATTTATACTAAAAACTTCAGAATATAGGTTTAATACAGACTTAAAACATTAACACCGAAAAATTCAGCAGTCACTAGCATGGACAAATTTAAGATGACGTGATCAGCAGCAATGTATGCAATCTCTATCGTCCACGCTCCATCCACTTGTTCAAGCAAGACATACATTAAATCAAGGAACGAATTATAGTAAAAGATTTAACCCTTAATTTCGAAAGCTGAAATAGTAATCAGTATGTTATTAACTGTGAAGTTATAACAAAACACATTCAATATTTTCAAATGTTTATTAAGCAGACGTCATTCGTCGTTTTATAGTAACAATTTGTTCAATGATTATTCTGTTGATAGTTTTGGACACTATAATACCTATATTTACGTTAAAAATCCCATATTCCAATCAATAAAGATAAAATTTCCGAACATACTTTAAACATGTCTTGCAGATCCTTTTATGAGTAAAACATGTTCACATAATCACATGGCTTTTGTTGGGAGTGTTATCATATGTGAAATAATAATATTTATATGATCATTACGCAGCTAAATCAGTTAATCACACTAGTACAATTGTAATGCAAATAGGTTATTTACATATCGAATAAGAAGTTCATACAACGGTTTATAACTTAACGAAATATTGACATGGCAATATTATTTCAAAATATTTATGTTCAAAAGCTTTACAATAACTATAAGAAATAATCCACATCTAGATAACACTCAATACCAACATTGGCCAGTTCCAGTCGAAAGTACTTTTTTACAATTAACTGAAACCAAATTCATATGATAACATTATATTTACTCATTTTATGATCAAACATTTGAAATGATTTTTAATACAGATTATGCAAAGCAATGAAAAAATGAAGACATATTTGTAGCAGAATAGTTATATTCGAGTCATATAAGGGTTGGAAATATGAACTTAAATTTCTGATGACAATAAAGTGATTACAATTGTATACTTTAAACCAATACAAAACATGCAATGCATTTACTTATACATAAAATGGCTTTTTTTGTTTTTCTAACATATCGAGAATTAAAGATTAAATTAATTTAATAAGCAAAAATTAGTAATTGTCAAGATACCGATAGTTGACTTAATCTCGGCCCTGATTCAACATTATAAGACCGACCGTTTATGTGTGCACTTCTAACACAAGTTGTGTTCCGAAAGTCTAGATATCTCATAAAAGTGTATTCTTGCATATCAGGATGATGTCATTTTACCGGAAGTTGTAATTTCATACGCTGTTGTTAGAAAGTAGTTACGGTTGTAATGATATGAATTTCCATTAAAATTAAAAAAAAGAAATAAAAATATAATGCAATATGGTAGAATATGCAAGAAAAAATATCTGACATATGTTTGCGGTTCGGATCAGAATATCCGTCCCTCGGTAATAACGAGGCTTGCCGAGTTACCGCCCAATAGGCGGGTCACCTCGGGACGGATATTCCAATCCGAACCGCAACAGATATTATTAGTCTAATTGTTTGAAAAATAAGTCGGACGTTTTAAATATTAATATGTAAACGCTCTCTGCTTATCATAGGAAATACGACCAGAAATATTGGAAGTGTATCTAAAAATCTTTAACTAGTAACAAAACTGTTTCTCTGTTAATAAAAAAGTTTCAAGACGAAGAACAGCAGAAATGCCACCCATCCTGTTTTGAAAGCGTTGGCTGAAAGGGAAAAGGATAAGATTCAATGCACAATCGCGTCACAATACCGCGCGCGCGTGCATGCGTGTGTGTGAGTGAATATTAAATACTATTTTAGTGATCATGTACACATTTATTAACAATTAATCGAAAATGATTATCTCTTTGAACAAGTAATACAAAAATATATAAATACTTAATAAAAGCGTCTAAACTATTAACTTTTTATTATTTTTTTTATTTTAGACCCATTTAAGAACTATAGTTGTAACACGCACGTAACGGATTGTCTATAAAACAATAGAGTAACATAATTTAGCGAATCATAGTTTACATTACCATTGTTGCCAATACATTCGTCAATTTTCATTGTAAAGCCAGGACTACACGTGCATTTTCCAGCATCTACATCACAAATAGAGTTGCCAATATCTTCACAACCACCAGTAGCAGCAGAACATGGTTTACCGCTCACAGCTGAAACAATTTGCATTATACGGGTTTCATAGTTATTGTGTTTGTTTAAATGTTGATAAAATAAAATGTAAAACATCCTCTAATTTATCTTTTTTATTCCAGGCTATTGGCCTTCGCTTTTACAAAATGTAATACGAACGAAGCAAATTACTTTAAGAATCATTTATTGTTTTCTTAAGCTCGGGTTTTAATTATCTGAAGTTTGTCAAACTTCTTCCTTCCCTGACACAACACGTACTTAACAACTTTGTGTAATGATTTACTGTATTAAACTAAAAAAAACTAAAATCATACATTATCTGAGCTGTTACAATAAAACCGTAATTTTGACACTTTGTCTTAGAATCTACACTAACAGCAAAACTTACTGAGAATACAGTCATTTTCCTTTTCCTCATGGTCAGTTTTACAAATGCACTTTGAGCCGTCGCATATCGAATTCACAACACCTGGACAATCGTTAATTCCAGAACAACTACTCTCAAGCGCTTTGTAATAAAATTAGTAACAAAGAAATAATGATTTTGTCAAGCCTAGGAATGTCAGGTACAGAACGATTTCGTTCGAAGAATCTAACTAAAGTGATGTTCCTTTTTTAGTTTACTGTTTGTACATGGATAGGTCTTATATCTGCTTCAATAAAGAATTGAAGAACAACGTAATTATGTAGCATTCTGAAAAATGTCAGTGCAGGTAAATAGTATAAGAAAATATTTACAGTTAACTTTCTTTCCTAACAAAACTTAAGTTGAGTAAACTGCTGGTTTATACCAAACATTTCTATATTACCATATAAGACTTTAAAATTGCCTTGAGTTTTCCGATGCAACTCTTATTCTTATATTAATTGTATAGAACTGCATTTCTTATTCTCATAATTACTTTTAATGCAAGAAGTGTCATCATCAGGGTCTTCTCTGTAACCGTTCACACATCGACATTTAGCGTTGCTTTCTGCCCCATCACATTCAGCATTTTCTGTGTGAGTGCATTGATCTGCAGTTTCCTTTGTACAATCAACACTTGACAACGTGTCTACAAAATAGATTTTTTAGATTGGTGTGTTTTTTACAAAAAAAAACTTATTGTATCCTGCTTCAAATATATATATATATAGCATATTAATGGCAAGGGCAGTGGCTTTTCACGGGCAATAATTATTAAAAATGTTGTTCATTATTTGATTTTATTTTTTTTAAGTTCATGGTATTTTTTTATTAATCTTAAGATAAAGTGTGATTTTTTTACTGTATACTTTAAGAGAAGACGTGTTGTTCTATAAAAACTATTTATTATTCAGAACAAAATAATGACCATGGAAGCGGTTATCTTTTAACATTTTTTTTTTAGTATTACATTTTAGATTTTATAAGTGCAAGCTTAATTGTATAACATTATTCAACTGAGAATAACAACTATGAAATCATTCTGCTGTATACGTTTAAAGTAGATGTCTTTCCAGTTAAAAAGATAAGAATGCAATGATGTACAAAAATATGTAATTAAACTTTCGGTTATGACATCTTTTCCAACTGTTTCTTTCCTCACATTAAACATATTGAGTAAAGTTAGGGATTTATACTAAGAAATCTAAGGCAAAAGAATATCAACTAGAATTTAAAAACAAATCATTTTAAATGCATCTTCCTTTACTTAACTAAACTTGTATGAATATTGCATTTCTTATTCCCTTCATTACTTTTTATACAAGAGGTGTGTCATCAGTTTAAAGTAGATGTTTTTCCAGTTAAAATTTAGAAAACAATGATGTATAAAAATTAAACCTTCGGCTATGTCATCTTTCCCAATTATTTCCTTCCTTCCATAAAACTTAATGAGCAAAGTTAAGATGTTATATGTATACTATGCAATCCCAATCAAAATAATATCAAATAGAATTTAAAAACAAATCATTTTCAATGCAACTTCCTTTACTTATATATGATTAACTAAACTTGTATGAATAATGCAGTTCTTATTCCCTTTATTACCTTTAATACAAGAAGTGTCATCAGTAGGATCCATTTTGTAACCGTTCACACATCGACATTTAGCGTTGCTTTCCGCTTCATTACATTCAGCATTTTCTGTGTGAGTGCATTGACCATCAGTGTCCTTTGTACAGTCAACATTTGACAACGTGTCTACAAAATTGATTATTTAGATTTTTGACATAAAAACTAGATTATAATGCCTTGAAGTCATATATTACAACATAGAGCAAAATAATTGCCATAAAAAGGTTGATGGCACTTCTATATTAAATTAAATAAAATAGAGAAAAGATCTTACTGTATACTTTAAAAAAAGAAAGCCTTTACACTTTTTACAGACAATGATTATTTAAGTTGTTCTTTTATAATTTTTAGATTTTTAAAGTTCATGGTAATTGTCGTTTTATTTACTAAGATAAACTATGAATTGTTTTACTGTATACTTTTAGAGAAGACATTTTTTCCATTCTTTTCTATATTAAAGTATATAATACAGAACAAAAATGACCATGGAGGCGTTTATCTTTTTACAGAATACATTTACAATTGTGTTATATTATTGATACATTTTAGATTTTGGAAGTGCAATATTTATTGTATTACATTATTCAACTGAGAATTTACTATGAAATCATTCTGCTGTACACGTTTAAAGTTAATGTCTTTCCAGTTCAAAAGATAAGAATACAATGATGTACAAAAATATGTAATTCAACTTTCGGCTATGTGATATGTCCCGATTATTTCCTTCCTTCCATATTAAAAACGTATTGAGTAAAGTTAAGGCACTCATGTATACTATGAAATCCCAATCAAAATAATATCAACTAGAATTTAAAAAGAAATAATTTCCAATGCAACTTCCTTTACTTAACTAGACTTGTATGAATAATGCACTTGTAATTAATTTTATTACTTTTTATACAAGAAGTGTCATCAGTAGGGTCTATTTTGTAACCGTTCGCACATCGACATTTAGCGTTGCTTTCCGCCTCATTACATTCAGCATTTTCTGTGTGAGTGCATTGACCATCAGTGTCCTTTGTACAGTCAACACTTGACAACGTATCTACAAAACGGATTATTTAGATTCTTTTATATAAAAACTAGATAATAATGCCTTGATGTATCATATATTAAAACATAGAGCAAAATAATTACTATTAAAAGATTGATGATACTTCCTTATTTAATTTAAAAACGACAGAGAAAAGATTTTACTGTATACTTGAAAAGAAATTATATTTGTTTTAATAAAGCTTTTTAAACGATAACATAAAACGTTAAAAACAGAGAAAAATATTAATGTATACCCTTTTCGCAGATACTATCCGTATTGACCACAACCTCTTTGTAACCGCTTGAACATTTGCACTTCATTGATTCATCTGTATCATCACACTTCGCATTTTCAAAACCTGAACATTGGTCTACTCCATCACCATCTGTGCAGTCTGTATCTGATACCTTTGCTATATTTAAATAACATAGTAGACTAATAATTCAATACGACAAAATTTTTATCTCTTTAGTGTACCATTACATGTCTTTTTATTTTATACGTCACTTATTTTTCAGGGATGTAACACTTATTCGGTAACACATTTGGTTTAATTCTCAAGAACCAGATCAGCAATCATAGGATTTTGAAAAAAATGGTCATATGCAGAAAAGAAAATGAATAAATAGTGAACGCAAAGCTTAGTAAATTCTAAATACTAATATAACAATCTGAATTTTAGAAACATTATGCAAATAGAAAGTCTTATTTTGGATAGGAAATAAAAAAATAGATTGTCTGTTACATTTTCGCTTTCAATTTGGATCAATACAATTAATAAAGTGACTATTATTTGCACGTGATCAAAATGATTGACATTTTGCTATCTCTAATAAATGCATACGTGTAAACTCCAGTTTTTACAGAATCAAGAATGACCTATCTATTCCATCAGCTAAAACCAGTCCAATGTTTAAGGCTTCTGATAAAACATGAAATTACTTTTATAATCTGGATTAATTTTATTTAATACATATGGAATTTTAAAATATCATGCATGTTTATTTCTGCTATTTTTGGAAACCTTACTAATATACACTTATTTTCTATCTTATTTTATCTATTTATTAACGTTTTTGTGTATACTGACTGACTTCTTTAGACAAAATGTCAAATCACTAAAAAGACAGAAAAAATATTTTCGGATCGTTGAACCGGAATTCAATCTCGAGGCTCTAAGAGAGCGTCTTACGCCTAGATCTTAGCTTTAAAATGCAGTTAACAAGAAATTTTCAGAAGCAAACTAAATGATTTTAAATGTGGACTTTCAATTAGGATTTGTAATTCTTCAATCATTATATTGTACATATCGATTACATTGGACATTATATTAAATTATTAGTCTTAGTATTACCGGCAAAAAAAGAACAGGTCTGCAAGCTCAGTACTGCAGCAAGTAAGAATATTTTCCTCGTCATCTGCAAAACAATGATTATTAACTGCAATCGTATCAGGAATTATTTTCAAAATAAATCTTATATTAAAGAAAATTTTACTTGTGAAAAACAATATATTTTATGGTTTATGATAATAAAATGAAAATTAATCTATTTTAAAACGTATCTATTAAATGTAACTGAAGGTCGCAATCAAGTTTTTTGAATCATTTCTTATCTTATGAGCGCAATTTGACAGAATTTTAATGCAGTTGATAGTCAAATTGAAATGACTGTCTCGTAATATGCTGACAACATTATGATAATAATAACAATTATAATAAGAATAATAATGCTTAACAATGTTTAAAACAAGATACCATTAACTATAAGAGGTTATCTTTATATGTAATCTGAAACCTGACATATATTAATACTTCAAGTTCTATTAAATTTAGATACGAAATTATCTTTAATATATACAACTGGTCATTCGCTTACTAAAATTTGAGTGTAAAAATGCATATTTCATTTACTTGAAATAATATATTTTGACAGCGATACTGTTTCTAATTTTGACCCTTGGAAAACCAATACTGAGGAGGTAATTTTCACGATTCCAAGAACAAACATGACGTCGTTTATAAAGCCGACAGGGAAACTGGCAAGAAAATCTTGCCCATTAAAAATTAACTCTTTTTTCAACTTAATTTGTAAAAAATTACTTCAAACATTCTTTTCTTACAAAAATCAACAATCTGTTAAACTTCAACAGATACGGTATATAGATACTTCTCTTAATGCCTATCTGTTAAAACCAGTTTGATGGCTAAAAATAGCTTTCTCGGGGAATTCAGAATAATAAAAAAACGAAACATATACAAAAAGTATGGCGAGGTATATGTAGCAACGAAAAAATCCCTAATAATTTTGAATCATATATTAACATAATTATTTAAAACATATCACCCTTCAGATAATTATCATCGTGTGTTGTGCAATATTAAAATATTTTTTCGCCTGATTTGTAAACACAATGTAAAAAAGTGAGTATTTTAAGAGTATCTTTTTAGTTTTTTTTTTACAGTTCGTTGTGTCAAAACTGTAAAACAATTGATACAAGTGTATCTGTAATTAAATTATGTTTGTGATATTACACAATATTGCTAGATTCAGAGCTCTATATACTGTTATTTTTTATTAAAAAAACAAAAACAATCTAGTACGCACATTTTGGCCCCTTTAACAAGCCATGTTATGTTACAAATGTAATAAATAATATACATTAATTTAATAGTATTATTGTTTATTATTGGAACAGAAATAATTATGTATTAACGACAAAACAGTGTAATTGGAAATATAAAATGAAATAATAAAAATAACTTACCATGATTTACGTTGTGCGCTTCTTGATCCGATATGACTGCTGGGATGGCTTACTCGTACTTATCAAGTAATTTTGGGGCCATGTAAAGTAGTCACATGATCAATGTTGTAAATTGTAACTTAAGTAGAGGTTTTAAATTATTATATAATTTCTTTTTTTTTTTGCAATGACATCAGTTTATTTTCAGGGTGTTTGTTTAACCAATAGTCGATCGGGCAGATAGATTTTGTTTCTAGATTTTTTCTCTCTAAAATTTAGCAATCATGAATATGTTCACTTTTGTACTGATCTTCTGTAGTACCATTTTGAGCGATTTTATCTGCCTCAAGTTTCACATCCTTAGCTATGATAGTAATAACTACTTTTCAGGTATTTGTTGGAGCGTTGTGCTGGCTAAATGCTTATGGTAAAATGATGTCAGTAACGTGTTTTTAACATAAGTATAAAACATTTATAAGTGCTAGAAAAACGTTAATGAGGTGACAAAAGTTTATTTTTCTTATCGAAATTTAAGTTATCAATATTTCATATATAATACATTGCATATCGGTACAACAGATTGTCTTCTCGTCTTCAAGTCTCTCCAATGCATGAAACGTTCAACATAAAAATTACTGAATCCTGAAGCATGCAAACTAACGTGCAAACCCACGACAAAATAAAACAAGCAAACCAACGACGAAATCATTTTATGTGGTTACATGTAAGTATGTGTGTTCGGGTTGCAAAGGTTCATCCGATACATCTGAATTATCGATACTTGCAAAATACTATATATAATTCAAGACAGATGTACCGATATAACCGATATAGCGATACAAGCGGTATTGATATAGTATAGTTTACAGGACCTGTTTTTATAAATGCTCATTCAATTCAAATTTGTGTTGCTTAGATCATTTACATTTCTGTTCATACAGGCACTACTAAATGTTCAAAACTTTTAATAAAAACATCACTCACCAATTAAATCTTGGCAAATAGTGGAAATTAAAAATACATTTTAATAACTGAATTATAGCGTCAGCATTTTTATTTATTACATAATTTATAATAGAGTATATAAAGATTTTAATCATATGGACTTTTTTTAAAAATATATGATGAAATTCAAGTCTTTTTCTCAAGAACGTTTTCAGTTTTAAACAGTAAGATACCAATGCATTAGAAAGGATCCTGCAGTGACTGGGATTCGAACTAGCGACTACCTGCTTAAAAGCGGAAGTAACAACAATCTCGAATACTTAGCCCGTTAGTTGAGTTCCCTGTCACAGTGATCAGAGGTTGTCCTATAAAGGTAGGTTTGCATTAAACTGTCGTACATTCCCTTTTCAGAATGTCATCGATGACAGATAATCTTATTTTCAAGTCAGAAACCATTTCGATTACAAATCAGACATCGTTTCGATTCTTTTAAATTAGAAACTATTTCTATTTCCAAGAAAAATCGTGGAGCCAGACAATCTGGACGAGCACCTATCTTATGACTCCGCGACAGTAAAAGCACTCTAGAACACTGAGTTATTGACGCAGTTGTAATACAAGTTGTACTACAATTTCGAAGTTACTGTAAATGTTCACTCAATCATAACACTTTAAATATTTTAGCATTTTAAAGACTTACCATCATATGATAATTAGGTTGCCAGTTTATTCGTGTCTCGTAAACAAGCACCGGCTAATGCATGTATGTAATGTAGTAAATGTTTGTAAACCCCCACATTGCCAATACATCAGAATTATTTTATTAACAAGATAAAGATAGCGGGACGTCAGTATATACTATTATCATTCTCTGGCTTTCTCAAGTAATGTACGAGTATATTTTAAATAACATATTGTGCTTTTGTTTATTTTTATTTACATTGTCATCTAGAGTTGTCTAATTTAAACAAATAAGCACTGTTTTTATCAGAAAAAATAAATACGTAGGCCTTTGGTGCTCATGAAATGATTTTATCTGTTTGTCTTATAATGTGATTTATTATCTTTTATTTACTTAAGAATTGCTTCAAAAAATATGAGAATACAAACAAATTATTAAAATATTGTTGTTTGATCGGAATGCCTTAAAATCACGAGTATTTTTTAAGCTCTTAAAAGTGGTACCGAAATATTGTAAAGTGTTATAGTTAGGTACTGAATTTCCATAGACTAGAATGGAGTCGACAAATTAGTATGATAAAGATAAAGCACTGCATGCATCACGAAACAAATACTTTATAAAGAGACATAAATAATGTATTTCGTTTCATGATTGCACTATACAATATACTATTATAATTTGAGAAAAGCAATAACCCAAATCTAAATCTATACATTTAACAAAAGTGAATTCTAATATTTAGGATTTTGCATCTTTAATTGATATAGAACTTTAATAATCATATTTGCTTATGACAGAAACTGTATTCAACTTGTTCTAATTTTATTTTCTAGACATTCGCGCTTAAAACATTCCCCTTGTGATAAAATGCCGTTTAAAAAGCTAATTTACTCTTTTGAACTTTTTTTTAAATTTTGAAACGAGTGATGCATTATTTTTAAGTGCCTTTTTTTCACATCACGATTAAATATTATTATGCTAGTGTTATTTCTTATGTTTTTCCATACCGGTTAGCAATGTCATGTACGTCTAAAATGTAATAAATTTCCAATTCAAGTCTGAAATATATAAAGATAACAAATAAATTACAAGTAATTCTTTATTAAATTAATGATTCATTGTCGTCTTAAATGCTTAATGTTTACATTTCTAAAAAGAATACTTGCTAAGTAAATAGTATCTTGAAGTAACAAACACAAATAAATTATAAAGCTTAGTGCTGATAAGTCTTCAAGTAAATGTTAGAAATATTCAACAATTTTGACTTAAAAGATGGATAAAATCACACCGTTGTTAGACGCCACATGCACGCGGCGTCTAGTAGATATGCATTTGTCCATACAGCAATGTGGAAAATTTTAGACTGGTTTTTTTTTTTGTTTTAACAAAATCACACTGTTTTTCAAATTTTCTAATAAAAAGAGCTTTTTTGATGTAGAACATGCCACAGAGCTTCAAGGGATTAGCTGAAGTGATCGTGCCATGTTTGAATATCATATTCTTTTTATCATTATCTAATTTCATCTACATAACAAATAACGTGCCAATGAGCCAGTCTATAGTCGATCGTTCTAAAACTTAATCGTTGAGAGAGGTAACGACTGAGGCAGTATAACTCATTTCATTTGCTCCACCTCTGTTGAAGTTCGGCTCCGCCTTCAATTGTCGCCAAATTTAATATGATGTTCCGTATGCTAGCATTTAGACTTCGTTGACTGGGGCAAAACCAGGACAACTTTGATCAAAATCACTTGTACTTTGAATGATTTCTATTATTTGGGAAAACAACTATAGTTATTCATGTTATTATATTAGTTTCTATTCAAGTGCATTATTACATATGAGTTCGTTAGCTTTGGTGGAACCATAAGCAAATCACAAGAATAGTTTTAGGCCATACTTAATTCCGAAAATACTTGACGTGTTCATATAATACTTTGGCCGATATACTATTTTTTTGATCCTTGCTCCTTTCAAAAGTTAACAATTAACAATGCAAATAAATTCTTAACAGACAGTATAAAATTTATGTTGTTACTTTTCAAATGTCATCGAATTTATTTATAATACGCAATCTGTACGGCAAATTTAAATGAGCCATTGAATTGATTTATATCACTTAATTTGCTATATTGACATTGTAGAATAAGTAGTTTATTCAATAAAAACGCAGATATTCTGTTCATTAACACAGAGTTCCTATCAAATATAAAGTGTTACTTACAAAATGATTTGTTGTAATTAGAAAATACATTCTACAATTTTATAAGACTGTAGAAACAAATGTCTTGGGAGGCTCGATTTAATATAAATGAATAAATTAAAATGGTTTTTAATGTGTGTTCACAACAGTGTTGTCCCCTTTCTGAACAAAAAAAACCGACATATAATAGCATCTCGGTAAAATATGCGTTAAATATACTTGAACTTATTTGGGTTTTTTATTGACAGAATCTTTTTACTCATTTTAAATCATGTACTTAATATGTGAATATGAACTATAGAGGCAAAATCACAAAATAGTTAAAAGCCTATTAAAAGCCACCATCGTTAATCTTCAGGGTGTTTGTTTACACAAACGGGATCATGAAGAGACTTGTGTGAGTGCAAATTGACAGTAAACCTTTTCTGTGTCAAATTTCGATTAGTTAGTTTTCTTGATGTGTCGAAGTAAAATAAAAGTCCCGACTTTATAGAGTGTAATGGTGGCTTCTGAGCCTCGATAAAATCATTTTTGTTATAAATTTAGGTGAGAAACGTGTCCTTAGTCTAAACTAGACCTAGCCTATCATATGCACGGTAACTTTTTATAAATTATAAATAACAAGTGCATTGTCCTACGTTTTAAGTTTTCAAGAAGTGTTTGAATTTTGTGAAATTTTCTAATTCACACGAGACGTAATATTTTTATACCAAAATGAATGAAAATAAGCTTTCTTCCTTCGCAAAAAACACAAAACCAAGCATAATATTGACATATTTTATTGTAGAAAGCCAGATACAATCTTACCGAAAGATCTGTTGAGTAAACAAGTTCTTTGCAGATGTATAGTTAGTAAAATGAGCAATGTCTCGATAGTTAGTCACATGATAGAAACAATTATAGTAAGTTTCACGCATGATAACATGTATTCACATATACATTGAAAGGATATAAATGTGTGCTTGTAAAGTTTTAAAAAATAAACATTTAATTCATGATCAAATATTTTCCTTTGTTTTCTTAAAAATGACTGCTTAATCAGTTGTTTTAGTAACATATATAAGCATCGGTACATGTTTCTGGACGCCATTGTCACGAATTATGCCATACTTTATTTAATGTATCTCTTTCGTTTCTACGTTAAGTTCCCCTCCGTGAGAGTTTAGCTATTTGGTTTGTTTATTGCATTGTTGGCCTTTACAATCTAGTATTTATCATGACTGATTTTAATCATTTAAAATTAAACACATGATGGAAC